GTAACATGAGTATTAACTTGGACCGAATACATCAGTTTATGATACTAAAAAGTATTTGAATTAACGTACTAACCAAGAATTCTTGGAATGGTGAAATTTATATTAAACAAAAGGATGAACACAAATGAATGTATTTAGTTTTAAATTTTTAATCAGTGCTCAATCAGGTACAAAGAAGTCACTAGTCAGTGGAAATACCACAACCACCACTGCTTTAATGGACATTCAGATTCCCGTAATCTGTTGTACAACTTAGCTCCATCATGAGTCTTTCCAGTTGTGTATTGGGCACAGACTGTATGATCTAGAATGCCGTCATAAGGATTATAATTAACAACCGAAATTGGAACGAACTCACAAGGGGTCTTTCAAGGTATTCCGTTGTTGTAACTGGCTTGCATGTGATTTATACATTTGTCGACCTGATTTAGCAAATCTTCCGTAAATTGCAGAAAAGGAGTTCTTGTGCGAAGATTGTTTTGCTCATACAATTCCATTGTCGTTTCTTCTGCGTACAGTCTGGCGATTCTGCACTGAACGGCTCTATGGTTGTGCTCAGTTTTTCTCATTTAGTTTCCGTCATTTGGAAGTTTTTAGACAGATAACTGACTAATGTCATGAATGATGATCAACCATGACCTATCATAAGAAGCTCATGATGTTCTAAATTCTTGTGAGTCGCTCAATGTTTTGTTTTCTCACTTCGAGATTTTTTCCAATTTTAAACTCTTGCATATTCTTTGATTTGCTTTCTATCATTACCATCTCTAAACCACATAATCTGACCTATGATTCATAACTTTCACGATTAGCGGTGTGATACACTAAATCTATATCTTATCCACAAAACAGAAGCCTTAACCATCTGATTTACTTGTAACATGGAACAAGTAGTGACAGTGTATTTCAACAAGACTTGTTGTTTTAGTAAATGACCTTGAGCACTTTTTCCGTTGTGTTACTAACATAGCGTTACACACTTGTGGCTGTTCTCAAATACACTACTACGCGAATTTGTTTTTGTTCAAGTAGACGCTGTAAAAAAGCCACTGACACCATCATATGTAGGCCCTTATAAAGTAATAAAACGCACCCACAGATATTTCATTATCAACAAAAATGGAAACAAGAGACAATTTCCATAGACCGAATAAAACCAGCTTTCTACGAAGTCCGTCGAAACACAGAAGACAATACTGCGAACAAACAATCACTCCCATCAATTGCTAAGAAACAAGAGGAGGATGAAAAAACTTAGCACTACACCCTCTTGTTTAACACGTTCTGAGAGACTTATAAAAGAAACCAAAGTGTGATGTACATTTTGCTGTATAAAAAAGTAAAGCAATCAAAGCAAACAATTATCGAGGACCTACACTATCAATCTCACCCAAAAAAAATTTTTCTTTTCACAGTGTACATAATTAATCACATTCTTTCCACAATTATTCGTTTTGTCACATTTTTTTATATAAAAAAATTTGTTGTTTTGTCACAATAATAAACGAGTAAACTCCATTTAATTATTTATTTATTGTACACAAAAATAGACAGTTCAATTTTTTTTCGTGGGTAATTAACAATTTTGCACATTATTATCATTGTTAGCCAAACAAGACATTAAATGACAGTGTTTTCATCTTTTTTTTGTGTCTGTTACGCTATGCTACATCACTGCTATTCTCAAACGATAACACACTGCATCTTACTAACGTATATTTATTATTATTATTATTATTAGCTTTATTCAATATTATAATTTTGGTACAATATAGAATTTTCAGCACAAAGTATTTCAACAAGTTTCCGTTTCTTTCTTCTTGGTCGGTCCTCGCGATAAATACTGAATGGTCGCCAGCTAGATGTTATCAATCCAGTAAATGAACATGGGAATGATGTACATTTTTTTCGTTGTATATTGCCAGCAACCATATTCTCTCTTTTTGAGCTTTTTGTAACTTTGATAACGAAAGGTTGTACATTTTTCAGAAACTCAGCAGAATAGGTTGTGCGATTATTAGACATAATGATATATTAAAACAAACGAAAACAGATAACTTGTTGAAATATCTCGATGGCAGGAACAGGTAGCCCAGATGCTCAAGCAGGCCGCCGTGAATGTCATATCCATCTCCACAATTTTTGTTGGTTATAACTGCAAATATTATTTTTGTATATATGTATATATCATATTCTTACATTTTTTTTCTTATAACCAGTGTTACCTCCGGACACTCTGGGGGGAGCTATGTGAAGATAGGTCTGACAAGCCTAATTTGTAAATAGTTTTTAATGTTATTTGTATTTATTTTGTCAATTTTTCACTTTATGTACATTTGTCATTAAATGACTGTACCTGTTGTTTTAGTAAATGACCTTGAACACTTTTTCCATTGTGATACTAACATAGCGTGACACACTTGTGGTTGTTCGCAAATACACTACTACGCACACACTCCTTGTTCTATTCTCAATCGTTATTGAGCCAATTGCATTCTAAATCGAATATTATCCACATTTTAGACTGTTGTGCCATTACTATTACATCCTACGTCAAGAAAACTTACTGGAGTTATATTTACCTCATCGGAGTTATTACTCATTTATAATTGTCGATTTTGGTACAAAAACTCAACGGAATACGCGACAACTAGCTGATTTAAGTAACGTCCCTGAACTTTTATTTTGTGTTACTAATTTGTAAATTATTAGTGTTATATTAACTTTTGGACGTAACAATTTTATTGCTAATGTTTGGTTAATATACTTTTTGGTCCACCACAATTATTTGGTGAGCCTCGTGTTTATCCTAACTGTTATATTGTTTATCATTTCACATGATATGCTGGTTTATTTTTCTCGTTATGTCCTCTCCCACTAAACTCATTGATATGGATTCACCTCCGGTAACAACTTTTGTCTCATTGTCGAACTCTGCTGAAAATAATTTAAGTTCAGTTAATACTATCTCAGAATTCAGTTTTGTGACTTCCGGAGAATGTTGAATTTAATCATGAGATGTCATGATTCTTCCTTGAACTCGGACGATAGTGTTTGAATGGTTTAATTTGCTTATTTATGTTGGCGTATTTTTAGCAAAGTTGTCTTCTATGGGATGAGGTTGTTGACCCCTTTAAGCGTGTTTGGGATCGGCAGTAACCCTGAAATAGCTGCAAACGGAGTTATTACCTGGAAAGACGATACTATTATTACGAAATCATATGAAGTGCATTAATAGCCACGAACTCATGAAGTGTCTGCCACGTTTGTACGCAGTTATTCATAATACCATACGATATGTGACAGCTATTATCTGTGTCTAAATTACAATGGTAGAGTGTTGCTTTTCACGACCTTATTGTTGACACTGGCAGCATCGAGTCCACCATTTCTAAGATGTCATACTTCATTTCATCTGAGGAAGTGAGAAAATTATCTTAATGTAAACACGGTCTTTAAAATCAATAATAAATGCTGTTGAATAAGACAAGTGAAATACCACAACAGTAACTATGAAATAATATTAAAATACCAAGGTTTGACGGAGAAGAGAACAGAACAACTACGTCTGTTCCATTGCGATTGATTTCAAATTTATGGTGTTCATTCATAGGTATCGTTTTTGATGCGAAACTCTGGAAAATGATATCTTTCTCATCCAATACAGTCTCAGCCTAACAGTCAGTGGCAGATGCTATTCATTGGTCCAATCATATTAAACTTCTTCTCAATCTACTCAAGTGTCGTACAGTTGATGGCTGGACATGCCTGACACATTTCAGGCACACCAAACGACACAGATTCCCATTCTAATCACTCGATTTATTATCCTCTTTATTAAACCCCTTTATTCCACTCTCAGTTTATCACTCCTTGTTGCGAAAGCATTTATAAGGAAATACCAACCACCTTTACTAGTCTATTCACGTACTTACTAATGTCTTCTCCTTGTTTGTTCATGTCTAGATGAAAGACGTTCAATCTCGGCTTCAAGCTGCCAACGAAGAGATTGACAAGTTGAAAAAAGAAAATGCTGAATTACAAGATGCTTGGAAAATTCAGCGCGATAATTTAATGACAATAAGATCATTGATTACAGTAAGTTTACTGAGAGTTTTTACTCATGAGCAGATAGTTTATTATTGTTAGTAGTGAGCATTTCGTTGTCAAAGATATGAATGGTCTGGAAATAGAGTAGTGATACTATTCGTTTCCTCAAAACTCAGAAAGACGGTGAAATGTTTAAAGCTCTATGTTTTTTCCCACCGGTCTAATATAGGGTGATGTTCCTTGAATACTCCCCTTACTTTTCTTAAATTACAGAGTGAAAAAGTTAAGTGTGTCATATTTTTTACGTATTTAAGTGTTCACATTAACGAAGTGCTATTAGAGATACAGGCAAGTCGTTCGGAAGTAGTTAAGCCATTTAATTCGTGGTTGTGGAGAAACATCCAATTACTACCGAGAGGTGTATATACAATGTAGGCGTTCGTTCTGTATTAATTCTTGCAGCTACCTAGATACACGAACTTCTCGACTACGTCTATCTGCTCACCGTCCAGTGTGAGTACAGGATTAGAATCCTGCCAGTCTTATAGAAGTACTTTGCACTTCGAAGGTGCAAAGCACATAACATACCTACGGACACTGATTGCCAACTGATTAAGTGCGGATTGCATGCCTTGGGCGTTATCGCACAGTAAGACATTATCATCCGCATACTCAAGGTCGAGAAGTCTTTCTCTAGGAAACAGATCCACACCACTATTACTTACATCCATCAGAGCTGCTTCCAAAATGTCATCGATGGCAAAGTTGAAGAGGAACGGTGAGATTGGGCAACTCTGCCTAACCCCACTGCTCGAATGGAACAATGGAGAGAGGTGGTTGTATGCCCTCACTTTGCCTGAGGTGTTTGTATATAGGGCTTTTAGGATGTTCATTGTTCCATATTTAGGTATTAAATCGTCAACGTACTTTATTTGAAAAAACCAGGAAATTTCTTAAAGACAAATGGAAAGTAGATGTAAAACGTATGTTAGATGCTGAAAATAGTTTGTTTAAAACAAAAACAACATATTATCAACGTTGTCAAGCTGGTGTAAAATTACGTGAAAAATTAGCTACAGCACAAAATTTTCTAAATGAATTATCTGCTTCTCTTATGCAATGATCGTCAGTTTCATTTAGTGGTACATCTACGTCAACAGGAACAACACCATCATCATCATTTTCATCTGTTACGATAATGCCACCTAAACAAACAAATGTATCAGGTGAATTATTTAATTATGATAGGTAATTATGTAAAAAAAAATTTTTTTTAATTCTACTTGTTTATACTGCTGGGAATTCATATTCATCGAATCTAATGAGCTCAACTGCTGGAAGTAATGCAAATTTAACACAAGATTTAATGAGTGATTCAAATATTGGTGAATCAAATCTATCAAATCCAACTTCATCATTATCAACTTCTACAATCATGTTAAAAACAATATTTGAAAAACGAGAAAGAATACTTATATATATATATATATATATATATATATATATATATATATTTGATAGTTTGGATTTTACGAACAAATAAATATCTAGAAAAGTCCGGAAGTATTTTTATATCAATTAAGAGAGATTTACTAGGTCAGAATTACTGACAAACGTTAGGGGGAAACATGTCAAAGAACTTACAAAAGCATAATTCTTATACAATATTTTTTTTATATTGGCACTGATGAGGAGCCCCATAATAGGACAAAACAGCACTCCAGTGCTTTTAGGTTTTCCATGTTTGTCTGGCTTCAATTGACTCATGATCTCAACTATCGAAATTAAAAATGTTTCATTTAGTTACTTAACGTTAGTTAACACGTTAATACAGAAAATAAGGTATGTTATAAATGAAAAAGAAATTCAGTTATTAAGGAACAGAGTTTGAGCGAAACTGATTGTAGATATGAATGAAAGAATTTTAAATGTATGAATTTAGTAAAAAGACATTTTATCTTACTTATCAGACTAAGCCATTAAATCATCAAGTGTCTTTAACTTTACAACGTAACTAAAGTGACAATTACAATTCGAGTTCTATGTACAATGTCTAATTCCGGCTCAATGGTCTAGTGGTTAAACGCTCGCGCGCAAAACTGAATTCTCTGGGTTCGAATCCCGCGAGCGAGATCATGGATGCGTACTGCTGAGGAGTCCCATAACAGGACGAAACAACCGTCCAGTGCTTTCAATGGTGGTCTAACATCAATTGGTTAATGATCTCAATTAATAATTTGAAATGTAATGAAAAATAAAGAATAACATTTAAAGGATTAATTTTACAGTAAAACAGAAATGGAAACGTGAATCATAGGTAGAATACATTCTAAAAATTTGACCTTTATTAATTAAGCACAGATTATTCATTATCTGGTATATTGTTAGTGAAAATAAAACAAAAATAAACTGTCAAATATAAATTTTCAATTGATTCTACCATCATTTACTATTTTACTATTTTTTGTTTTTAGTTTCAAATTTTAAAAAAAAAATTTACATTTGCATTTGTAGTTGATTAACCTATTGTATATAAACTAATTGTAATTCATGGTAAGGAATAAATTGTATTTCTAGTTTGCTGTAAAATGTTTAGGTGAAAAACTTTTAAAGGAACTTTGTGTTTAGTAATACATTAGTAACTTCATAGTGTAGGGATAGTTAATTAGTTTGTGTTGTTATTGGCATTTTTTACAAGAGAGCTGGATTTTTTAGTGGATGGTACTATGTCAAGCCGACATAGATTATTCTAGTTTCTGAGCAGGCCAGTTTATTCATTATTCTCAAGCCTCATGTTGACTATGTTGATTATTTGTTTATCAATCCTGTTGTTATATGATAGAATGTGTGTTAATTGCTTACCCCATTCATTACGTGTTTGTAACTTATTTTTGGTCTGAATATAGATATTGAGTCAAGCTTGATCAAATGGAGTTGGTTCAATTACCTTCTCCGCTGAGCATCACTTCGTTTCTTTGATTGTCTGTTCGGATCAATGTGTGTATGAAATATACGTATCCATAATTGATTCTCGTATCTGACTTATTTCATTTCATCATTCTCTAACGTAAATTAGTCGATAAAAATATACGTGGGTTGGCGGTATCTATATCTCGACAACAATCATCATACGATTTAACTGAAGTCAAATATTGGGTCACAAAATTATACATCATTGTTTAAAATAACACTTTTGGATACCAGTTAAACCATCATTAATTGAATAACATGAATATTTGATTACATTCTATTCCGTAAATTTTCATTTAACTTTAGTCAAAAGGTTTTATATTTAATCTAATACATAAGATTTTTATTGCTATAAAGCAATAGAAAACAGTTACTGAATTTATAAATATTCCAACTTGATTCTATGAGAAAAAAAAACAAACAAACAAAAACAAACCTCATTTCGGTTAATATTGCTAATCTATCTGAGTTATACTCAACTAATGGTAACGATTTAAAAAAGGACACTTCTTAATAAATCTAACTTGATGAAATAAGCAACAACAAAAAATAGTCTTGATATGTTAACTGTTGAACGTTTATGGTATATTCAATTTATTAGTATCTAAAGATCATTAAATGTAGAAACATTAACTAAAAGCAAAACTTAAGTTTTATCAAAAAGTACCAGGAGCATATAAACCAGTTAGAAATGATGTGCTAATGTTATTAAGAAGAGTTAATTTATTATTATTATTATTATTATTAAATTATTTATTCCCTATTCATGTCATGTAAGATAAAATCATCCAGGAAATAACTACTTGAGTGAAAGCTTTGCAATAAAATAAAATAAAATGTTTGGTCGAAATGTACCATTAATTGAAGTCTTTTTTTTTACTTTTGATAACTAACCACACGTACTGTTGACTCCATCTAAACTAATCAAAATGTTATTCTATTGAAATGTAACGACAGAATTACTTCCTAAGATTGAAAACAAGATACACTGAAAGTTCATTTAGGGATGTCAAACGATTGTTTTAATGAAACAGATAACTGTCTATGTGAATTAAATATAGAAAATTCATTGACCTCACTACCGTGTATTCAAAAATAACACTTTGTAGATTGTTAAATAAATCACAAAATATAGTATATTAATTAGATGGATTCATCAATGAAAACACCTGATTATCATTGAAATATTACAGCTGTTGAACTACATCACATAACAATAAACAGATTTAAATATTTTCCATTGAGCATTTTATCAACTAAGTCCATAGAAATTCGCTAGCTAAGACCTTTAACTAAAATTCTCTTTTTTTGTTTAGGAGAGAATTGAAAGCTCCTTTTCAAAACCTGTTAACTCACTAGTTTTGATTACGATCCGGAGACTAATTTATCATTGTTTGACTGTAGCCGGAACATTTCCCTATTTGAAGACAATATTATCCATTTCAAGCAAATAAGTAAGATAAATCTGTTCAATGTAGCCGATGATAAAGTTTAGAGACTAGCAAAGAAATTAAATAATAAAATAAAAGCACTTTTAGTATTATCTCTTATCAGTTGAAATTATAAAGTCTTGCTAAAAGATTAGTTCTTCATTACCTTACTGTCAATCAAAAATAATATAAGAGAGTGATTTGTTCATTTCATTCATGTACACAATCTCACTACATTTCAATAAAATAGTGAACAAAACCAGTTAGGTTGGTTGATGGTTTTATGAAACTATCCGATTTCTAGGTTTCTATACATAGTGCCTATGCCTACCTACCATTCATGAAGGTGTACAACGCTAGACAGTATTATTACAGCACAATAGGAGACTAATCAGAATAATAAAAAAAATCAGTTTATGTGGCCATGGACTGTTTGTCTCAGGTTTATAGGTATATGTAGCCCAACAAAGCAGCGTTTTCAAATCAGTAAAAACAATAATACTATAATGAATAAATATAATTTTGGATACAAATTAAATTTTGTAAGATACCCTCTGTACAATAGTGAGTTCATGATTTAAAAAATATGCATCATACTTACCTCTAAAAGTTCTCTGCATCGTTTGGAATTATTCGCTTCAATTTCTTTACAATGTTCAATCATCTAAAATATATTTACAAAAATATTTATACATTTATTATATATTATATAATAAAACCAAAATACATTCATAATGGAAAGAAAATGTTTAACTAGTTACTTTGTTACCCTATAGTACTTTGATTCCATCAAACGAACTTTAATCACTATAGCGAATACTTCACATTTCACTTCAATAATTCTAATCGGTCTTTCATCCAATTCAAAAGGTGTTATGCTTAATTCTTGAGAAAATTTACGCTCTTTAATTTATTATTAAAAGTTTCACAGATTGAAATCATGAGTCAGTTGAAGATAGACCACCATTGAAAACATGGAAGCACTGGACGGCCGTTTCGTCTTAGTATGGGACTTCTCAGTAGTGCGTATTCTAGTGAGAAGCCGTTACCAGTGGAGTTCAACCAGGTCTGTTGTAAGGTAACAACTCACTGAAGACAATGGTGTACGGTGGCTCAACTTCGTGGATTAGTTGAAGTTAGACATTAACACCGTCGGATGCCAGCTCAGTGGTCTAGTGGTTGAGTGCTCGCGCGCGAAGCCAGTAGGTCCTGGGTTCGGGCCCCGTGTGGTGCGGGATCGTGGATGCGCACTGCTGAGGAGTCCCATACTAGGACGAAACGGCCGTCCAGTGCTTCCATGTTTTCAATGGTGGTCTAGCTTCATCTGACTCAAGAGTTCAATCTGTGAAAATTTCTAAAATCTCCACAAAACCCATTCTGATATTATTAAAAGGATCAAATTTTAACATTTAATTACAATTCTGTTTTCTATAATACTAAAACATGAATTATCCAATCCCATTAGTTGATCATCTCCGGACTGATAAGTCTTGCTCGTTGAACGCTATATTCGGTTCCTAAGCTATTCTCGCAACCCCCGAGCTAGAACTACACAGCGATCTGAACACGAGTGAAAAGGCGCAAAATATGCGAGAAGCACTTTAGCCCAAAGGTTCGTTTTAGTGCAGAAAATATTGGGTTTTTACAGTATTTTAGATGTCGTTGGGTTTCCCGAAGATTCTGGAATGCTACTAAACACAGTAGCAGTATAGTAATCAGCCAATTAGGAACTCTACATGTGATTTTTCATTTTCTTGATGATTCCGGCTAAAACTTCAAATGAACGTTGATTAGATGAAATGTTTCTTAGTGTTTTATGAGCATTTCTTATTTTTTTTGTGAGATGTTTTATGGATCACCCCAACACAGACAATGATGAAACCACTGTATGATCTACCTTTAAGATTTTCAGAAGAGGTTTTATGGAGGTTTTAGAAATTTCAATAGTCGGAATCATGAATCAGTTGATGCTAGACTACTATGGAAAACCTGGAAGCACTGGACGACCGTTTCGTCCTAAAATGAGACTCCTCAGATGAACTGGTCGAAGTTAGAGAGTAACACCGTTGGATGCTGGCCGGCTCAGTGGTCTAGTGGTTAAACGCTCACGCTCGAGACTCACAGGTCCTGGGTTCGAATCTCACCAGGCGGGGTCGTGGATGGGCACTGCTGAGAAGTCCCATACTGGGACGAAACGGCCGTCCAGTGCTTCCATGTTTTCCATGATGGTTTAGCTTCAATTGACTCATGATTTCAACTATTGAAATCACTTTAGAATTTTATAAATTTTTAAATATTTTAAAAACTTTTGAAACGATATGGAAGCTAAATTAAATATTAAATAGCTTTTTTCCTTTTTTCATTATCAATACGTTGATTTTATTTATATTAAAAAAACTATTTGAAACTAAAAATACTGTACATACATTATGTCCATATAAAACGCTTACGATCTATCTATATCAGGATGAGAGTTTGTGGAAATGGTAGTAATTTTATACTTGAATTCATGAATTGTGGATTGGTTGAAGTTGGACATTAGCACTGTTGGATGCTGGCTCAATGATGTAAAGGTTAAGCGTTTGTGTGGGAGACAAAAGGTGTTGCGTTCGAACCGCGCCTGTGGAATCGTAAATGCGCACTAATGAGTAGCCCCATACTGAAACGAAACAGCCGTCTATTGCTTCCAGGTTTTCCATAGTGGTTTAACTTAAATCGATCCAATTATATAAATATATAAGGTCATCTCCGATGGGAAGCAAAATTCAAAATCATGAATTCAAAAGAATTCACCTAATTTTCACGACGAAAACATGTACTATGTAATAAAGATTACCCTTCAGACTAATATTATATTTTATTACAATTACGCTACATTCTTGCCAACTAACAGATGTCTTCATGAAGTGAGTACTGATGATACTTCCCAGAATATTACAGAAGTCTATTAAATGAAACCAATTACCTTAGAGAGTTCAACATTATCATTACAGAAAATATTTAATACAAATAGTAATAAATCATTTCCAAAACTTACCATTCGACATAAATTGAGTGTTTGCTTTTTATATGGAGCACCATTCTGAAATAAAGTCAAATTAATTTAATTATTAATATGAAAAAACTTATAGAAAATTATGATTTTTAAGAGCTACTACTTTGGTTATTAAGAAATACTTTCAATAAACTCATCATACATAGATGTTTTTGTTTAGGTTAACAACTTCAACGTCAGTTCTGCGCAAATAAATCATTAAACCTGAGAGAGCTGAGAAGTTATGAGTTTTCAGTAATCAATGTATCATTTGATAAGTTAATCTAAATTCATAAATTCAAACTTGTATGCATCAGCTTCATTGATTTTTGTCATTATTCAGTTGACTAACTAGTGACTACAATCTTTCAAGGTATAAATCCATATCAGTGTTTGGATAAGTTAACTCTACTGGCTATCATAAGTAAGAACTCACTAAACCATCAACGATTTCATCCAATTACTTTTCAATATTTTCAGTTTGGAGTTGTGGAGATTGTTGAATGTCATTGAAATCATGAAGCGATCAACTTTAGACCACTATTGAAAACCTAGAAGCATTAGACGGCCAGTACCCCCTAGTATATGATTCCTCAGTAGTGCACAACCACAATCACGCACGCGGGGTCCGAACCCAACATCTTTGGTCTCGCGCGATAACACTTGACCACTAGACCACTGGACCCACATCCAATGATATCAGTGTCTAACTTCAATCAATCCACGATGTCGTCCGACCAGTGAAGTTCAACTGTGTTAGGTGTGAGGCAGTTACCAACCGAAGACAATGAAAGATGGGCATGTGACATCGTGGATTGGTTGAAGTAAGACATTAACACCGTTGAATACCGGTTCAATGAACAGGGGTTTAGCGTTCGTGCACGAGACCGAAAGTGCCGGGTTTGAAGCCCGCATGCGGGATTGTGGATGAGCACTCCAGTATTCTCTACTGTTTAGTTCATTTACCTGTTCATCAATCAGTTAGTCACTAACGAATATATTACATCTCATAATAAAATATGTAAAATAAGAAATCATTTATATAACTAACGGGACGATCAGCATGAACTTCAGTGTTAAATTGAAGTTAATAATATGATTTCGAATGATAAATTTATGCAGATTCTCTTGATAATCAATCTAACTCCTTTTGTTATATTCAAATTCAGTTACAAAATCTTAAACAACCTTATTTATCATTAATTGTTATGCGGAATAATTAAACTTTACTTTAATGTGACAGAAGTGGATTTTACTTACTGTTACAATGAAATATTTCAGTAATTAAAAGATGAATTTATTTATATTTTTATCATTATTATTTGAATTTGGCAACATATATGGAACTTAATAATATTAAGCTGTCTATGAGAATTGAATATGATGAGTTCACTTCTATCTAGAATAATGGTTGCTCAAATATTTTAAATATGTTATGATCGACATCAAACAAAGATTTTTTTGACATGAAATTATGAAAACATCTCATTTCCATATCATAAAGTGTTAAATGAACAATAAAGTATAAAACAAAACAATAATTAATTTTTCAAGTTACGTAAAATATTTCAATAGTTGATATCATGAGTCAATTGAAGCTAGACTACAATGGAAAACGTGGAAGCACTGGAATGCTGTTTCGTCCTATTGTGGGACTCCTCAGTAGTGCGCATCCACAAAACGGCCGTCCAGTGCTTCTAGGTATTTCATGTTGGTCTAGATTCAATTGACTCATGATCTCAACTATCTAAATCCACAAAATTCCTTTTGATGTTATGTAAAAGATATTTGGTTATCCATTTTTATTGACAAATATGATGATGATTGTTATTTTCATTTTCAATGAAATTCATTGTTTGCAGAAAAAACAAGATGCATAAAATGTTAAATAGTAATTCGTAATTTATACAAAGATCAATCGATAGAAACAAGAAACCATTAAATGACATTTACAGTATCCCATTTGATTTATTATTGAATAACTAATTTTACAAGTTTTGAAATAAATAAAATTAAGATGATTAATCGATTAAAATGTAGCTAATAATGTAAGCTTTCTGAATAATATCGTGGATAAGGACTTTTGAGAAGTTTCATACTACGACGAAATGTTCATCCAGTGATTTTAGATTTACAATAGTGGTGTAGTTTAGATTGATTGATGAATTCAACTAATAATAAAGTATAGGTGATTACATATTGTTTAATCAATTGTAACTAACTTTATACTTTAATTGTGAGTAAACATGAAGACAACTCGTTCAATTGTTTAAACGAATCAAACGATAATAGAAAATATTTTTTAAAATTTTTTACTTACAAATCATTCTTTAATTTCAAAATTGATGTGAAACACTATTAATATATAACAAGCTGAATACTTTGTTTGCTTTCTTATGGTCTGTTATCATGCCAACAGGACCTAACTCAAATCTTTTTCGTCCTAAGTTACTGTGTATAGGATAGCTTGATTGAGTGAGAGATATATCATGACAGAGCACAATCATTAAGATATGAGAGCTTAATTTTATATTTTTAAAAAGAGTCAATTAAACGTTTAGTAAACATGCCGAAAACCTAAAAAAAATGATGAATTTCATTCAAGTATGATATAGCGAATGGCTGTTAATTTTGTAACATACATCTATTACATAAACGTCAAAAGAAATAAGTAAACCTCCTGAAGTTTATGTAGATTATAAAAAAGCACTAATTGTATCTACATATTAGTCTGATCATGTTTAATTATGATCATTTATATAATGCATACCTTCTTAGATATCAAATGTCAATTGAATAAAAGCAATATAACCCTTCATTCAACTAGTATATAGCGTTTAATGGTCCATAATCAACAAACTGCACGTTAATTCTATCTAGTCTTTTGAAAAGAATAACTTTATTTTCTTGACATTGAGAAGCTCATCAATAAACATTCTTGGTTGAGACTATAATTTATGGATGACCTTTGTGCGACGCTAAAAAGACCTTGAGAATGTCCACCTATATATTACACTTAAATGAAGATTATAAAATAGTGTGAGGAATTAGGATTAATATTTACACTTGATAGTTAGAGTATTCATCGCAAACTGACGTCAGCTATAATGCTAAAACTCTATGTAGACAAATGAATGATTTAATTTCATGCAAAAATTCAAGACCTATTATCGTAAATCTGATTTGTTCATCCATAAATTATAATATTGCCAATATCATAAAATTATCCCAATAGTACTTCACTAGATTCAAATCTAGAGCACTTAGTCATACAAATAAAGTTTAAAATAGATGAACAAAATAATTCTAACTATAAACTTTCATTTTCTAATTAGATGTTAGATTCCGTTGTATACTATTATTACCTTTGGTCTTTAATTTTAGAAATATTCTAAAATTACAACTTGTATTGTGAGATATTTGTTTTGCAAGAGAACGATAGCGTCATAAATAGTATTTTAACTATTTATTGTTCAAATACATATATATATAGTATCTTTAGAGCACAACCAGCGGAAAGTGTATAATGACGATTGATAGTTGAGTACTAACTAATATCATATTTTTTAAGCCGATCTTATTAATATAATTTCGTAGATTCTATTAAAAGAAATGACAAAGCATATCATTCATTATTTGTTGATTTCATCTGTAACCAAAGAAATTCAATGAACTCTCCGTGATAGTTAGCATTTTTAAAAACAGAATATGAGTGTGGTTACGAGGAAATATTGATTTACCTATAACTTGGAACTATACATCACCCACTATTACAATCAAATATGCTACCACTAAGTTATTTCAACCATAAATAAATATTTGTAGGACTAAAATTCTTATAATTTGAATTCATACTATAAAGACTGTAAAGTATATAGTAATAAAAACAGGGATAAATAAAGTTTACAAAAAAATATAAAGTGAAACATTAATAATAAAAAAAAAACAGTTAATTATTAAATATTGTAAATTAGAGATGAAATCAATCATTATTAATTACCAGCAGTTGCATGTTTTTTCTAAATTTAACACTAAATTCTTACATGTTTTACACCATAATTTACAATAATCAAATACCAAAATCAACAGCATTTTTGTTATTCTTAGCTAATTTTGTATCTTCTTCGGATACACCACTTCCTATGAAAATATAAATGAAATTTTTTTTTTAAATAAAAAAAAGTAGATCGAAATTTATGACAATTATTATTATTATACTTTTTGATTGAGATCATGAACCAATTGTTAGACACTAACATCATTGAATCCCAGCTCAGTCGTCCAGTAGGTTAAGCGTTCACACGTGACACCGATAGGTACTGGTTTCGAATCCCATGTGTAGGATCATGGATGAACATTGTTGAGGAGTTCCACAATAGGACGAAACGGCCATCCAGTGCATCCAGGTTTCCAACGGTGGTCTAACATCAATCGGTCCATGATCTCAATCAAAAATCTAATGGCCTTTACAATCCCTGTACTAATATTATTATTATGTTGAATAATATGCATTGGTAAAATAGTTTGGCAAAGCTCGTGACTAAAACAAAAAATATCGGTTTATTTTTCCTTAAAAAATTGAAACAAATTGGAAAAACAATAAGGCTTCATTAACCTGCAATAGTATGTATCCTTAAGAATAGAAAAAATGATAAATTTCATGTATTTAGATATATTTATTTTATCAAGTATCCTGCAAAATAAACGTATACAAGACTAAAGATCTTTTTATTAATAATGCGATCATTATATTACTTTTTGCATATTATCTTATTAGAATAAAGTGAATTTCCCATGATGAAATTCTCATGGTCACTTGTACATTATTCCCTGTTAACTTTATATAAATATCCAACTGAAAAAAAAACTCAAACGAATGCAACTTTACAGTCTTATGTTCGAGTCCCCCATGAGGAACTGTAGATTCACACTGTTGAGTAGTCCTATACAAAGACGAAACGGCTGTTCAGTAATTTCACATTTCCAATGGTGATCGAGCTTACATCGATTTATGAATTCAACTGTGAAATTATTATTTTACCCTATTG